TTTCTAAGATTAAAGGCTGTATTTATCAGTACAAACAACGGTCTTCATTAGCAGAACAAGGGGAAAATTCTGACTTCAAAGTGGAGTCTTTTGTTACTGTATAATGAAGTCCAACATTAAGTCAGGAGAGAAAAAAAATCTCTGTGAAAAAGATCTATGTTTGGAAATGTTCTGTACACCATCGAGCAAAGCTTGAATGATAAGATGAAGGTAAAAGTAGTTCTCTACGATTACGATGTAAAAATAAGGGAACAATAGAGGGACATCTGATATACATGCTCTGTTTCTGTTGCTTACAGTAAATAAGTTTTAAAAGTAACAGATCAAACTTGGGACACATGATGGATCACCAGGCATCCCTCTAAAAACCCTTTCTGCTGCATCTTCCTCTCCAACAATCGGAGAACTTTTAAACCGTTAATGGAATCAGATAACTAAAATAGTCGCCTTTACAGGATACGATTATCTCTGGCCCAGTGTCACTGTTGGACTGAATCTTTGGACCATTCTATCTGGCATTTTATCACTGTTTCCAGTGATTGGGTTACATTCTACATGCAGCACATTTCCGTTAGATTCTACAGGGCTGGGATAATACCTATTCATAAAGCGATGATCTCAGTCATTAAGACCTGTCCAATGGGCCGATAATCGCTGGTCAATGGTAATTATCATAATGTCACGCTTTATGTTCCTAGGTAGCTACCCTTTATCATAACAACCTGGCTAGAGTTACGGAGGCTTCACAACAATCACAGAATTAAAATTACGGGAGACACCAAACAGTTCCTGGTGCTTGGTTCATTTCCCAGTGACAATGAATTTATCTTTTTAACAACACATTTTAGACCAATGCATTATTGCATTATCCTGAGTTTCAAAATATAATTAGGGATTTTACATCCATTTTCAATATTGAGCAATGAAAATATTTAAATAAATAAATTTAATTAAAATCTGTAAGCATTTGTCTGTTTCTTATTAAAATTCCTATTCCTTTTCTGTTTGAAAGAATCTTGAATTTATCATTGATTTTCATTAGAATTGTAAGGGAAACACTACAATGTAGAAATCTAAGACCCAGCAGCTTATTTATCAGTCATAGATTTTTTGACCAGAATTCAACTCCTATAAATCCAATTTAAATGCAAGTATACATTATAAAGTACTATAACTTCAGAAACATTTTGCTGTTTTTGTTTGATAAATTGTTTTAGGGGACTGAAAACAAAGGAATGAAATTTCTTGTGTCCTTAACACAATATAAATTTTATTGAAAAAATTTTTTGTAAGGATAATATCAACTTCTGTTTATTTATAATTTAAAATGAAATGAACGTTTCCCATTCAACCTAGAAAAATCAAAGGAATCTGTTGATTAAGAAATGACAGCAAATCAATTTTACTTTAAAATAAAAAATTGTAGAAGAAAAAGATAAATTTGTCTGTAGTTTCAAACTCAGAAATCCTTTACAGAATACAGTTTACTTTAAATTAGAAAAAGGAAAAGATGATACAAGTGTAAGGTTAAGCTGACCTTTGCTCTTCATTATTGATATACAGTTATAAGAAAAAAAGTAAGCAATATGATTTCTTCCATACTGGGAAAAAACAATAGTTGTTGATTTATTCTTTAATTATACGAGTACATAGAACCTTTTTTCGGATTCAATCTTCTGCTGACATTTCATACCTCCATTGTTTATTACGTCTGTTAAGAATCATTAAGAATAGCGAATTCTCATTAATTAAAATCAAAATCATACAAGCAATGAAAAGTGACTTTTTGTGCAGAATTATAGGCTATGACACTTCAATTACAAAAAACATACACAAGATATTAAATTCTAATTCCTAGGGAAAACAAAGAGATATGTTACTTCAGTAGAAAAAGCACTCCTTAAGCTTAGAGAAAAATAGCGAAAATCGGGAGAAATGTGGCCAAGTCCATAATTACGGCAGAATGATAGAATACCCCTCAGTCCTAGGAGAGCCCGCGTTTGTTATGCCATTGGGCCCAGTTTAAATGTCAGATTCAAACAGATAAAAATTGGGGGAACTTTATGGAATCTGTCAGAGTTGCCATTCCGACAGGATCCCCCATTTATCAGTCACATCCTCTGTGATCAATCCATTTCCTGTGATCATGGTTCATACAAATTTCTCACCTCCCGGAATTCGTTTTAGCGGATTCACTCCAGAGGGAGCCACGCCACCTCACGCCAGACTAATGCTTGCCGGTTTTAGCACCAACAATATTTTCCATTAACTTCTTTTCTTTGATTTTTTTTTCATAATCACAGTCTATTTGCTCAAATTTCTATATTTCGCCATAAAATATTTATAATAGACCACATACTGTAAACAAAGGAATATGATTCTTTCTCTCTAAGGATATGACAACTTAAGACTATAACACAGATAAAGCATTTTTTCTCTCTCATTTCTTGTGATTTATCTGAAATTGTAACCACTTTATGGCAATAAGCAATTCCCTTGGTAAATGCACAATACTTTTACACAGAGAAAATGAACACTACCTGCATCAACATAAACATTTAAAAACCATAGTAACCACACAACGCTTAGCAACATACTTTTATAATCCATTTAAAGCAAATAATAATGCTGATGATTTTGTAGTCAATTAAACTTTGTCTAAAATTTATTCTGTGAAGGACCAATCAAACGATCCTCGTTTTTTTCTGGGCATGAACTTTGACCCCTGACCTCTGCATTCTTTCTAGTGACCTCGGTGTTTCCTTTATTTTCAACTAAACTGCCTTAAGATAAAATTAGTGTATAAGATGTTGATTTAAAAGCAGGGATTAAGATTTATTGATCCTGACACTGCAAGGAAAATAATCAGAAAATACTGGAAGTTTTCCTGAGATGACGGCCACCATATTGATCTATTGTTATCTTCTACCATCAAGACACCACAAGTAAAAATACACTGTTCATTTTGTTCTACAGTTTGAATTTGGGAGCAACTTCTCCATTGAGAATTCTGTGGTTGACAAGCACCTTGTCAAAGCTCGCGAAAGTTTTTACAAATGGTTATTAATGACATCAGGATTCTTCACAATGTCCTCATCATATTTCCCAAGGTTCTAATGAATTCAAAATTAGCTTTTTTTCTTGCTGATGAAAATTGGGAAAACTTGTAATTTTTATTGCCTTCACAATCAAATTAAAACATTGTCAATGGTAATGTTGATCAATATGTATGAGAAATCATTTCAGCGTAACATTAAGCTGATTTATTCATAACACCATAGAAGATTATTTGTTTGTCATCATACTTAACAAATTAAAATATTTCTCTGACTTTAACAGATTTAAAGAAAGACAACTCTTCACAAACCATGGCATTTATAGCAAAGAGAGAAAATTGATTAATCTTTCTCAATTATTCTGTGTCAATAGCAACATAGACTACTTTGTTTCCAAAAGACAAATTTATATAAGAAATAAAAATTCTTGAGACCTGCATTTGATTTCACTTCCATTTTACACATCCTAAATATCTTTGTAATGATGCAATTGACTATTTTTCAAAATCACTGACCTTAGACACTTACATGTAAATACAAATTACAAAAATTTTGGGTGATAAAATTAACATTCCTTTTTTTTTTGGCAATTCAGATACAGGCAATCAACATTTGAACAATTCCATTAAAGAAAAATAACTACAGAGCATTGTTTATCATCATTTCAAGCTAAAAACTTTTTTTTCCAATTAAACAGTGTGATTTTATCAGGTTTTAAGAGATTTCCACTCTGATTGATTAGAAATGTTTGCCTTCCTAGATAACATATGAAAATGCCTGATAAGAATTATCAAAATGCTAGCATGTGAAGTTTAATTCTGATTTCATTATTTTTGGTTTAAATGTGGACATTATGATGTCAAGACAGTTAGATCCTTTAAAATAAGCAGTCCAATTTGACTGTCACACATTGCTTAGTTGATGAGAAAATGATTTACGCAAGAATGTTTCAAAAAAAAATTAATGAACTTGTATTTGGTCAAAACAGTTAGCTGATCTCAAAAAACAACATTCTGCTAACCCTTGCGGTATGGTTAACATATTGTTTTCCTCAGCTGCTGTATGAACATATGGATGTCTTACTGTGATACAAATTTAAAAAATACATCTATATCAAAACACCAGATGACAAACACTGAAGTATATCATGCTATTCATATTCAACCTCTTAACTCTGCACTTATACAAATTCATAACATTTCTGACAAATTACTTTATTCAGGTAACATTAAGTCACGAGATGAGTAACAAATCAAACAGGCATGTAACACCACATATGTTGTGTTAGCTTTCATATTTAATGAGAAACGCAGTAATTATAATGACATTAACATATCAAATGTTTCCTTTACCTAGAAGTTTTCATGTGGCATTTTTCTGCATTATATTTTACATTACTAAAAAGTAAAGCTATTTGTAAAACAATTGTTATAAACTTTAATTCTTTTCTATTATACATCATTTCAATCGTATTTTGTTCTATGCAGTAAGTATCTGTTACACAAACGAAACATATGGAGATGAATTAAATTATGTTTTTAAACTTGATTCGGAATCCTGTTTGTCTGTAATTTTGCTTGTGATTTTAAAATAAAATAGGTTTAAAATAAAACACCTACCCTAATGTTAATTATGCCACAAAAATTTTGGGTTGATGGGGGTAGCTAGGTCATAAAATATTATCCTTCATATACATTTATTTTAACATCTTTGTGTAACTTGTGTAACCAGTAACAGGTTTTTTTTGCTATATGTCTCTAAGAGTCTCTGAATGCCAAAACTGATCCACACACAAATTATGAATGTATCTTAAGTTACGGAAGCTTCATCTTCAGCTGACATACTTACCTTGTCACCTTCATCTGTCTCGATCATTACCCCCGTGGACAGAGGCTACTTTTTACATAAGAAATCTGGCCTGTATAACATTTACACGCGGTGACGTTTACTTACCCTTCCCAGGCACATCCTTTTATTCATGGCGGCGAGGGCTGCTGCTGCCGAGGCGTGGTCGTAGAACTCCACGAAGCAGTACGGATCCACCGGTCCCTTAAATAGCGAATAATAAATGTTACCAACATACAGACAGCAACACACACAATATCTACTACTAAATCGCCAGGAGCTGCGACAGCTCTGATTTAGCGAATCTCTTCCCCCCATAAGTTTTAGTTGACCTAGATATCCCATTCTTATGGTCTTCTTTTTTCTAATCTATCCCCCAACCCCTTTTCATTTGTATAGCTTCTTCAAACCTCAACTGTGAATTGTTTAACACATCTGTGAGACAAGCTATGTGGTAAAAAGTCACTTACTTCTACCGACTCCATAACTGGAACTCTTCATTGAGGGAGGTATATAAAAGAGAGGTCAAAGGTCATTCTCCTTAAGAATCAAATGAATGATTAACACTATTACACGTTTGAAAATTCAGATAATTCTACAGGTTAATAATGCTATAACACAGAGAAGAAGAGTAAAATGGTACCTTCCATCAACTTTTTCTTTTCCTGCTTTTTCCCCAGTTGAGGTTTTTTCCTCAGATAAAATAATAAAGATTGGCTTACCTCCCTTGTACAGCACCCATAGGGACAGAACAAAGATCTGACAGAAGGGTTGTTTTTAATCCAATAGGGGGCATTCAATTTTTTTCAGAAATGATTTTAAAGAGGAACAAGAAGAAGCTGACAATTTCAGCTGTAGCAAATGGTTGAAGAACAAGTCGGAGGTCCTACAACCAACTTCTGAGAGAAATTGGGTCAAAAAAGGTACAAAAATGTGATAAAAAGGTCTAACCTGTACAAAGTCTCTGCCCCCGCTGGTTACAGAACAATACACACAGTTAATAAGATTATGATACAATAGTAAAATAAATACATCTCACATGTGAACAGACTAAGCTGGAACCTCGGAAATCATGGCGATTCCTTGTTCCTGGGTTCCGCTGCAACACCCGGCTGTAAAAGCCAAATCAAGTCCTCTCAGTTCTCTATCTCAGGGCACCTGCTCCCAAATAGGAGCACTGCCTTACAGATTACACAACAGTGCAACTACTGACAATATACCAGCATTGCTGATAATGGAATGTGCATTACATACATGCACCATTTTAATGTTATTTTAACAGTTCAGTGGTTTGTTTTTGTTTCTAAGAACAACACAACCGTGTTATATTGCATTCAATGACATGAATGGTAAAGCAGCAAGTCTGTATTAATATAAAGGGTCTTTTCCTACACAGATAATAGAGAAGTGTTTTGAGAACAAGGGACTGATTCAGAAGAACCTCTGCTGTTCCTGAACCTCCTATTTATCTGGAGCTCAAAACAGCAGCTTGTTGTAATATTTCTTGTGTTATTTTACATTATAAAGTTATTTATTAAGAATACATAACATAAATCTTTAAGAAATAAATTGTAGCTTATATACTATGTTGCTTTAAAATCATTCTATACTTTTTGGCTATCGTCATGCATAAAAGAACAGCTTACAGAAAACTTAATTGTTCATATATACGTATATATAAATCTCACTGAATACTGTTACAAGTAACCTAATTAATACATGTACTTTTCATTTTAAGTATGCCAAGTCATCTTTCTTTTTCATCATGATCTTCTGGTTATATTTCAAAAAACATTGTTACTCACTTCCACTTTAATTTGAAATTTGATCACAAAATAGTCATACAAAGAGATTTTTCTGTGTGAAATACTATACACCACCCTTTCTCTCTATTTTTATTACACTTTTTAATGAAAATAAGTTAACATGACTCGTTTGTTTTTCAGGGAATTTGAGTGAATTAGAACAAGACGTATAACCCTGGTTTTAGTGTCAGGAAAAAAGTGCATTTACTTTACCTCATAATTCGGCCCATATTTCGCCTCCTGAAAAATATCAAAAAAATTAATTTAAAAAAAAACATCATTTATAAGTGCAAATAACACGATCTATTATTTTTTTAATAAGAGATGGTTTTGGTATTTTTAGCATCCTATTCTTATTCAGAAAATAAGGAAACAAGAAGTTTTTGTGGAACACTGATGCCCCCATATGGCAGCTTATAGCATTGTTGAATTCTCTAATATGCATGTCAAACTACAAAGGTCAAGGTCAAAAGTGTTGGTACCCAAAGGAAGGTATTTTTACAAGGAATACTCCTGTGAAACATGAAAGCCAAAGTTCTATCTGTTCAAAAGTTATGACCAAGGTTCAAGTTTTTAATAGTTGGTTCAAACTCTTAATAGGTCAAGGTCAAAAGGTCAAAGATATTTATACCTGCTGAAAGGTCTTGTCACAGTGCATACACATGTGAAGTACGAAAACCTTAGCTCCAACTTTCAAAAGTTTTGGCCAAAGTTAAAGTGTGATATTTTTTAGTAAAAATAGGTCAAACTCCAAGGTCAACGTCAAGAGGTCAAATTTAGTGGTATGCAAAGAAAGGTCTTGTCACAAGGAATACACCTGTGAAATATGAAATCCACTCAATAGTTATGGGCTAGTTACTGTTGACAACAGACAGACAGAAAAAAAAAGACAGACAGACAGGACAAAAACAATATACCCTTGGGATCTTTCAATCCAGGGGCATAAGAATGCAAAAAGTCAGTTTTTTTACTTATATCTTAATTTTTTTATGAGCAGTATGATGATCAAGCGTTTAAGAATATCACAAGACTTAATATATACCTAAAGGCAACATTATGTATAATTTATTAACATAGAAACAAGATATTACTCCTATATAAAAGGTTATTATTCTGTGTAGATTTATATTAACTCTAACAGGTTTTTTTGTTTAATACAGCTTGGATATTCATTTAAAGTTTTTTTTTCACGATAACAAAAATTACGCAATCTTTTGAGAATTGTACATTTAAATCTTCTTTAAACAGAGAAGAAAGACACTGTCACCCACCTCATTTGGTTCCCTCATTCCAGGGGTGGTCTACAAATAGAAAAGAACAAAGTGTTACAGATCATAAACAATATTTTATTATTCAATCATTCTTTTGCTCCAAATTACCACACACAAGTTGTATTAGGACACATAAAACAATACAATAAATTTGAATTTAACATTACACCTATTATATATATTAATTTGGTCTAATTGTAAGAAACCCCTGACTGGTAAGAGAAGTGTCCCCAGCCAGTGAGTGTCCTGTATGAGAATTAAGATAAGACTTGTTTGAGACCTAACCTGAATGAGATCACACCCCGCGGCCAGCTGACTTATATCCGTGATGGGGTATACCGTGTACTGAGGGGTGAGACCTAGCATTTCCTCTAAATTAATCCCCGCCATATGGACCTTCCTAAATCACTACCAAACAGCGAACCTAACGTCCCAACACAGGACAGTATAGAACACCCGTATAGGTAAAACACACGTACAATATGGCCTCACTGACTCACGTCAACTAATTACATTCAATTACAGTCGACAACAGAAAAAACGAAAATATTCAGCCTTGTTTGTTATTAGGATTCCATTGTTCTGAAAATTCAACTGTCCCATTATGTGTAAAATCTAACAAGTTTTTGTTAATTTACTCTAAAATTGCCCAATTTAAACAACTGAATGTCTGATCTCTGAAGTAAATTACTCTGTTCAGAACAAATGGAAACCATGAGGATCTACACACTACCAAATAATATTATCTACTGTCACTTTTGGCACACTGTGTCCATGTTCAGAAAAAAAAGAAGCAAGTAGAATTAAAACATTTTTGATTTGGTGAATATTGTGCTAGTTTCATGTCTCCCTCATTAAGACATATACACATGTACTGACTGAATAAATTAGGCCATATAAAATTGAAATCTTGGTTCTCAGGCCCGCGCGCATCCGTTTTGAGGTAGCCGCATTACCGATTTTATTGTATTTTTGATAAAATAAAAAGTTGGTGTTGCTTTGGTAGTTTAATATATCACTTCCAGTAGTCATTTACAATGAGATTTTGGCTACTTCGTTTGAAAATACATTCGAGGACATTTACCTACGATGTTTACACGCTGTCGAGCAATGGATAAAGCAGAAATTTTGACCAGAAATGGAAAGTATATCTGTGATTAAAAAAATTATCTTTATGTTAAAGAAAATTCATCTTCTTTATTGCCAATAAAATGAAAAATAAAATGCCGCCCTCCCGCATCTGTTTTGGATATATAAATTTAGATAGCCTTAGTTGTGGTAACTTTTGACAAATACCTGGGGTAAACACTAAACACATAACAGACTTTTAAACCAACATCTTGAAGTCTTATAAAGTATTCCTTGGTGACAGTTTTTATCACTGATATAGATCTACTAATCTTACAAAGATGCGATACCGTTAATAATGCTAAGGACACAAGTTCTATCAGAAAAACACCAGCTGACACTTCTCTTTGATCTACATTAATCAAAATTATCTAGTATTTCCTACAAAGCTATACATATATAATTTCAGCTTTAATAAATAATACTGTACTAATATTAACATTGTAAGGTGAATTCACTATCTATGATAAAACAAAATTTGCCTTATACCCAGCATTATAACAAACTAAGGAACTTTTGACTACGTTGCTAAGCAAAAACTAAATAAACTATGCATTCAATTTTTACAAGCAATTGAGATTGAGAGAAAATAGAAAATAACATGGTCCTTTCAAGTGTGATCTGATAAATTTTCCAAATCATTGATTTAGAAAGTTTTCAATTCGAAAAGTTGTTTTGATAAAATAAATCATCCAGTTTAATGATTCATCATTCCAAACCATTGTTATTATTAAAATCAAAACCAAAAAATTCTGTCTGGAAGAAGAATCAAATTGTGTGACACTGAACATTTCTTTTTGTTTCACTCTGTTTTGATTTCTATACTATACCTCGTGTATGATTTTACAGCTTTTACATGGTCCTATCTTACTTTCTATACTATACCTCGTGTATGATTTTACAGCTTTTACATGGTCCTAGGTCCTATCTGTCCAAACAAGGCCATGATCAAGGTCTCTGTGACACTGGGGTCAAGGTTACCCACATACCTGGAAATCAAATCAAACAGATTATTATGATTATTAAATAGTTAGGGAACTTTCTGGCATAATTTATCACAACAGAAGAAAGCTTGCATTGCAGGGGGAAAATGGAAATTCAAATAAGACAGACGGACAGACAAACGGACAGAATGACAGACTGTCAAACGGACAGAATGACAGACTGTCAAAGGGGAAAAATCAAGTCCTCCTCCTGTCAAACTGATAGATAGGTCAAAATTCTTGGTTCATTTTATATAAGGCAAAGTTAAATTTGGGGCTGAAACGATTTACCAATATATCAATATTGTTTAATATAATTCTTCAATTCAATATTCAATTCACTACCTCCATTTTCAGTTCGATTCTTCTTTTTTTTTTATAATCAAGTTAGGTTATCCCTTGAAATAGATCAGGTTTGTCCTCATTTTGACAGTTTGACAAACACACGAGGGAGAAAATTTCGACAAAGAAAGTTCTAGAGCAGGCTGCCACTGCTAGTATTGACACAGTGCTATTTTAATCGACAGAAGCACAAGCAGTATTCTCTATTTGTATCACCACCCTTTATGTACCTTTTGCAATCTGAATACATGTTTTCTTTAACCTTATGATCTGTATCTTTTTTAAAATGTATAGTATCGAAAAAATTGAATTCTGACACAAGTATTGCAATATGCATCGTATCTTTGAGGGGGTGTATCATTTCAGCTCTAGTTAAAAGGTGTGTACCGGTCATATAATATATTGAACCCCACGATATTTTGAACCCGGGTTCAAAATATCGCTGCGAAATATTGAACCCCCCTATAAAATATTGAACCCGGGGTTCAAAATATTATGGCCATAAAATATTGAACCCCCCTGCCCTTTAAATTTAAGAGGGAGGGGGTTTAAAATATTATAGTCATAAAATATTGAACCCCCCTGCCCTTTAAATTTAAGAGGGTGGGGGTTCAAAATATTGAACCCCCCTGTCCTTTAAATTTAAGAGGGTGGGGGTTCAAAATATTATGGCCATAAAGTACTGAACCCCCCTGTCCTTTAAATTTAAGAGGGAGGGGGTCAAAATATTATGACCATAATATTTTGAACCCCCCCTCCCTCTTAAATCAGAAGGACAGGGGGGTTCAATATTTTATGGCCATAATATTTTGAACCCCCCCTCTCCCTCTTAAATCAAAAGGGCAGGGGGACTCGATATTTTATGGCCATAATATTTTGAACCTACCTCCCTCTTAAATCAAAAGGGCAGGGGGACTCGATATTTTATGGCCATATTTTGAACCCCCCTCCCTGTAAAATTAAATAAGCAGGGGGACTAATATTTTATGGCCATAATATTTTGAACCCCCTCCCTGTAAAATTATATGGGCAGGGGGACTCAATTTTTTATGGCCATAATATTTTGAATTAAAGTTCATAAATTAAATGGACAGGGGGACTATATTTTATGGCTATGATATTTTGAACCCCCCTCCCTGTAAATTTAAATGGGTAGGGGCTACAAACCCCTCCCTTTTAAATTCAGGGGGATTCAATATTTTATGGCCATAATATTTTGAACCCCCCTCCCTCTAAAATTAAAAAGGGCAGGGGGGTTCAATATTTTATGGCCATAATATTTTGAACCCCCCTCCCTGTAAATTTAAATGGGTAGGGGACTCGATATTTTATGGCCATAATATTTTGAACCCCCCTCCCTCTAAAATTAAAAAGGGCAGGGGGACTCAATATTTTATGGCCATAATATTTTGAACCCCCCCCCCCCCCCTGTAAAATTAAATGGGCAGGGGGACTCAGTATATTATGGCCATAATATTTTAAACCCCCTACCTCTTAAATGAAAAAGGTAGGGGTTCAATATTTTATAAGGGGGTTCAATATATCGCAGCGAAAAAGTGAACCCGGGTTCAAAATCTTATGCGATATTTCGAACCCGGGTTCAATATATCGCGGTATCAAAATATTATGCTACACCGGTATGGGAATGTGGAGATACTTTGTCTTGGGCTTTTTCTATCATGTTGCTTTGGTATTCTTACAATATGCACACTAACAGACTTTACATTTTGAAATTTAAAAATTGGTTATTAAATCCAGTAAACTTTGAAAGAGCTACATGTAGGCGTAAAGTGACCCTGCTCATAGACACATTTACTGATTAAGAACAAGGCTATATCTTATTTTAAACACTACCATAAAGTAGAAGCTTCCAATTTTTATAACAAAGATACCTCTGAGAGTCAATGGTATTAGCAAGAGATGTTTGTAAAACACTTATACCCCCTTGCCCCAAATGATTCAATTTTTTCTAAGTCCAAGGGGCATAACTCTATCCAAAATGACTCAATCACACCCAAAACATAATAAGTTGACCTAGATATATTTATGATATATCTGTATACCAAATTTCATTTTAATATGTGCAACCTCTGCAAAGAAAATGAATAGAAACTGATGGACTGACAGACCAAACGACCGACAGACAGCAGCAAAACAATATGCCCTCCCCTCTTTGAAGGGGGGCATCAAAATATCAGGACTATCCTATGCCATTTTCAATAGATATCTAGGCAGACACCAAGCATCAAAGTAATATTTCATGCACTGTCATCTAAATCTAAGCAGTTCTAATTATCTTTTTCAGAAATTCACAGGACCAAAAAAAAAAAAATCCTAACACTTTGCAAATCTTGGTTATATTAAAGTTCAATACATTTGAAATGTTCTCAACTCAAAATACAGGTTTAACGATTTGAGTAATGTAAACTAAACTTGATAACAAATCTGCAGCTTTGCTACAAAATGCCCCTGGTAAACAAGGAAATCTAACTACAAACTTTCACTGAGTAATTTCAGTATCTGTAGAAATCCCCATTATAAACCTGATGAATTATTGATTAGAGTTCTAGGGACAAAGATCTGTTTACCATGCTCTTGTGATTCAAATCCAAAATTTTCAATTTCAGAAAAATAGAATCAATCTCAGTGGTTCTCAATTCATCATCAAGGTTAACCATGTGTAAACTTTTTGCTTCAAATTGAATTCAGTAATCTAATGTATTCTGATATGTTATGTACAATACCATCTGATTGTCTATTAAATAACATATCTGGTGCAGGTATTAAATTGCAGAGTGTCACATTGAAAACTAGTCTGGAGGTATATTCTACAGGGAAGTAAATTCAGTTTTCATTTTAAACACAAAATGTTCCTAGCAAGCCAAAACATGCAAAACATTGCCAATTTCCTTGTGTATTATACATGAATCTGAGAATCAGACAAAAATGAAATATTGGTATTGATGTTTAAATATCCAATTAGCATACTAATGAGAACACTGGATTTAAACTACATATATTCTGGAAGTACACGTGAAATATTGTTTGGCAGTAGCATTTGCACCTGTTTGTTCTTAATTATGAAACTGCTAATTAGCTTTTTATAATCATGACTTGTAGTTTGAGATTTCAATATTAGATTTTCATAATATTACTATATTAAGTAAATATACATGTAAATATACTATGATGAGTGGTGGGGTGCACATGAATCCATCCAAACTATTAATCAGGCACTGGTTATAAGGATCATCCAAGTGGTCTCACATTAATTATATGAGTACTTTATAACAACATTCATGATATTTCCCTGGTCTATCATGTAATTTTATTGAAATATCCAGAAATGAGGAAAGTGCCAAGCACATTACACAAGATTATGTTTTTTCCATATTAACCTGATCAACTTTTACATATTGTCTGTTTGACATGGAGTAATACCCAGTACTTTTAGTCTTCTTCTCTACTTCAAAGTAAGTTAAAAGAAAATCCATCCATGGGGATTTTTTAAAGGAATAAATGAGGAGTTATCTTTCTTAGTATGTATGATGAGCATGTGTCTCCTTCTGGTGCTGAAATCATTTCTGATTTGTTCCCTTTGCTACACTGACAAAGAGTTATGACAATCATACAATAAGCTTGTTTGTATATTTAACTAGGCCCGATCTACTTGATCTGCACATACGTTTTAAAGCAGCGTCAACTCAGGCACGTCACAATACCCTTGACTGCCGTCACAATTGAACACAATAACGTCACAATTAAAATGACGTCAAATTGCACTAAAATGTTTCGCTGATCTTGCTGACCTGGTAGCTCTATAGACTGTGCATGCATGTTGAAAGCTGGCATTTCTATTATTTACATTTTTTGAAAAAAATATTCGTTTAAATTAATAAACAACTCTGGAACATAATTAATTTTGAGGGATCAATTTTTTGTACAGATTCATTAATTTTATCTTGTTTTATTTCAATTTGTGAGTTTAAAAAAAACAAACACTGCAACCAAAAGTAAACGATTTTAGTCTTTCTCCTTGAACATGTTGAAGTGTTTATACACACTCTTTTTATTGAGGACTTAATTTATATGCATAGATTATCTTCAGTTTTAAAAAATAAGTCTATGAATCATTTAAATGCAACCCCCGAAATATTTTATTTTTCTATATATATATATTACATGATATTAGTAAAAATCGTAATTTTGTCGCTTTTACCCCCCTCCCAATACCCCCTAGCTTTTACACGTAAAACTACGTCGCGTGTTTAGAAAAAATAAAGCATGGAGAGAAAATTATTTCATAATGTAAGAATTATTTATTTTGTAGAAACTAATACAGTATTGCAATCATTTGTTGATGTTATGTAAACCCATTGCGACTTATAAAATACCTAGTTGGATATAATAAATCCAAATTTTGTGCTTTGACATGCCCCCTTTTCACTGCAATAAAGGCTACCTCTAATTTTCTTTTCATTTTTATAAGAAGAATGAAAATTGCATGATATATGTGAAAAACAAAGCATTTCATCATTTATTTTTTTTAAATTTGTCAATTTCTTTGTTTATTGGAGAGTTTTAGTAATATGTAATTGTGTATAAAAACATGAAAAATGGTCCATATCTTGACAGTGCCCCCATTTGACTACAATACAGGCAAGGTAATAAAATTTTATTCTAATTTTCCTCAGCATAAAACATACAAATATATTTCCAAGTATTAAAATTTTTTATCATTCCATTTTCGTAATTTTCAACTAGATCGGGCCTCGTTAATATATCTCTCTCAAGATTTTTTTTTCACTCCTATTGATATGCCACCTGTTTTCAGAAGAGGATCATTGAGCAGGGAGGGATCTTTTTTGTGCCACCACCTACTGAGGCAAGGGGACAACTCTCAAAATCCCACAGTTGGATTTGATTCCATGACTTTAAGAAAAAGCTTTTTACTCTGTGACTCTTGAGCATGTGAGTGATAAGTATCTGTTATAATACTTTAAAAATTTTCATTAACAAAACAGTTTATCTTGGTAACCATTGCTGACTTCAGTTAACTTAAATTGGCAGCAAAATTGTAGAATATCAGCATCAGTTTACACGACTTTAAAATCTGAAGAATAAAATAATGTTCTCTTACATTTATAAACAACATTCATCAAATAACTTGAGCCAATTGTGGGTACTACACAACTATTTAAAATTGAATAGTACAGTGTATTTAACAATTCGATTCACATTTTAAATCATTCATATATTTTTTTTAGATGTACAAATACATATAAAGGAATGAGGAAAATACTAGAAATATCAGCAGAATAAAAGTCATGATTATCTGGATGTGAAGTTATCTGGACATGAAGCAAAATCTACCACTCAATGAATATTCATCCACAGATGTAACTTATTGCAGGTTTGATCTAGTACTTATATGTAGACCAGATGCAGCCATAACAAGTAAGTTTGGTCACTTGGTCACTTTATTTCAAATGCTTTTGACTTGATCGTATTCATCCTGAATTGTAGCTTAAATCCATCATCTATGCAAGTTTGTTCACAATAGAACATACAGTTATTTTGGTGAAAAACTTACTCTTAAAACTTGTACCTGGTCACTATTGAAAAATTGACAACAGATCCAGCATCTGAAGCAACTCCGTGCAAACCTTGTACATTGTGTACCCAAGACTAATGCATCATCTTTAGATCTCTGCAAATTTTGTCCAGATGAGAATTACAGTTAATTGGAAATGCACTTGCACTTGTTACTTATGCTTTATTTGAAGGCTTGCATTGATGTTGACATGGGGGCATATCTAAGCTCATCTCGACTTCATTGAGGTGAGCCTAAAAATAATTTACTCACAAAGATAAAAGTTATACTACATGACAGGTATTATTTACATGCTGCTATTTTTAAAAGCACTTTTTATGTGTCTTATTAATAAAAAAAAGTTGAAAGCATAAATATTCACAGAAGTCAAAACAAACAAATAAAGTTTCGGGTAAAGATTTTCTTTGTGCTCTACCTGTCTTTCACAAATGACTATAACTCTGTTACATGAAGCATAATACAAACAAGGATTTAATGCCATAAAACCCTTCACATCCTCATTAAACATGGTCTTCTACATGACATGCTTTTATAAGATAAATGGTTCAGTTTACTTCCAATTTTGTTGGAAACATCTGAGAAGTTGGGAATCTTGATCATGATACATGACAAGTGTGCTAAGTTTGAGGATATTTTGTAGGCATCAGTATTGTTTCAAAAGTTACAACAGTGTACAAAATGTGAAATTGTTACAGAATGCAGTCACTGGCGGATATAAGTTATGTTTGAAAATTAACATCTTAAAATTTTCATTGCAAGTGCACAAGATAAACTACAAGTTTGACCTGTTTTAAAGATATTTTTTAAAGATGGGTAAAAGTAGGTAGAAATAGCTACTTCATATAGGTTTTATATCTAGGTAGCTACTTATATCTTTGTAAGTACAGTCTTTGGACTTGAGCTGTTAAGTTTTTAAAACAAACATACGTCTATATACACAATGTCTTCACAAATGCTGCAGACCGTTCCCTTACATGTAGAATTTTAAGCGAGCGCTTGTTGTTGTAGAATAATCATGACAAATTCATGTTAATCATCATTAATATAAAATCTCTTCATAACAATTCTCAATAAGAGTTTACCTTTAATATCACTGACAAGTACAACGAGGTGTGAAGAAAAAGAAAATTTGTCTATGTCTGTATAACTACATGAGTTTATACTGATAAAAAATATTCACATGACTGACATGGATTGCTAAATACAAGATTAAACTTATGTTTAAATAGGATACCAGTAAATTTGATAAATTATTCTGAACTGAAAATTAAGTTTCGTTTTGGGTTATCCCTGAAGTTCAGGGTCAAGCTTCAGTATAAACAGTTGAAATCTTTGTAGACAAAGTCAGATGGTAATTTTGTCGCGTTACATAGAGGCATGTTATGTAAAATACTATTCATTCTTCGAGTTTTTAAAATGGTTATTACAGAACTGTCAACCCTTCCAAGAAGCAGGACGTGTGGGTCAGATTTAGTTTGCCGGTGTGATACGTGATCAATATGGCCTATATGGAGGTGATTGACAGTACTTACAGAGTGCGGGGAGACGTTTCTTCGCTTGCCATCTGGAAGACAAAAATAATTGCTTGAACTACGTATCAAATACAGCAAAATAAATAAAACAACCACAAGGAAATAGAAATATACCTCTGCAGAATAAATATTATGGCGACTTGGGTCGAACAGGAAGTCTTGATAACAAATGATTTGTCACGGAACTCTGGGAACTTTTAGTTTTCCGATCCCGATGAAAATTCCCTATTCCAAAAACGACGAGAGCGATTTTTTTTCTTTGTTCACCAAAAATATTGTTGAAACAATAAAGTGCTTAACTTATAAATGTAATGAAGGATAATAAAATGTTATCCAGATTTTTTTAGGCAGATGAAATGTGGGACAGAGGGGAACCCAAATCAAACCCAAAAATAAATAAATAAATAAATAAATAAATAAATAAATAAATAAATAAATAAATAAATAAATAAATAAATAAATAAATAAATAAATATTTTAATGAAGTAATTGATTAATTGATTTAAGAAATTAGATAAATTTGAAATTCTTCTCCCGCAAAAGCGAAAATCCTAGATTTCTTAGGGGTGTACAATATAACATAGATGTAGACAGAGTATATTCCTAATGAATGAATATTGCATATTTCCAAACTATAGGATTATTCAAACTAGATGTACTGTGAGCGATGAGCTCACTAAATGATACCCCCCGCCTCCATATAGTTATAATGACAAAGTCCATGTTTTGCTGTGGCCGGGAAACCCAAAATATGTGTCGAATCAAAAAGTAAAATAGGAGGTGCACAATGGCAATATGTAGTAAAGATTCTGTGAAAGTTTCATCAAATTTCATTCAGTGGTATCAGAGGAGTTGCGGATAAGAGATGGGTACCCCAAAGCGTAACAGACGGACGGACGGACGGACGTACAGACGGACGGAATTAACGATTACTATATACCCTCCCGCTTTTCAAGCGGGGGGTATAATAATTATACGAGGGTTGTTCGAAAAGTTCGTGGACGATGTCAATCAAATTTATATTACTCACTAGAAATTTAAAATAAGTACAATATAATTTGTTAAAATATTTGTTTTGTTGATGTGTGAAGTTTCATTCCATTCGTTTTAACAGAAATCAATTTACTTCAGTTTAAAATCAACATGTTTTGTACCCGCGGAGGACACTTAACGTCAATGTAACGTCAAAACATAGCGTCAAGAATTTCTAAAAAAAAAATAAAAAAAAAAAATACTATCCCTATACAAATCAGAGAGTACTATCCAATGCCCATACATTAAATCCTTTTTCTAATATTTGAAATTTATTTTTTAAGAATTGGTCTAGTTGTATAATTTCCATTGTTAAAGTTTTAATTTTTTTTAATTACGTAACTCTGCTTTCACAGGATAAGGAACTCTGATGCGCCTATGTCTTTTCGTGACGTTCCAACTTTTCAAAGTCTTTCAAAGTTTTACAGTTAAACCGTTTCTTCACAGTTTATCCTCATCCGATACAGAGTCTCTGTCACTCAACTGCCTGTACTATTTGTGCACACATGCACAACTCACTTGTGACATAATTCTTCATTCCTCCAACATTTTTAGTGTTTATTAGGGATTTTTCCTTAGTTAAACACAAAATAGCATCGTTATATGCTGCTCCGTGACGTTCTAAAACGTCATCATTTTTGTCGTTTTCAATAAGGACTACTTATCTCCTCAAGTCGATTGCTTTCCAACAAAAAAAATACAAAGCCATATTTTTTTTTTATACGAATCGATATAAGAATTCTTAATTTGAATTTCTAGGTTGTTTTTCGTTTTTGCTCCATTTTACAGAGAATATGACTACAGACATTATATAGTGTATTGTCTGTAACTTACTAAATTTTGACCTGCTCCGCGATCCGATTTTTGCATTTTTAAAATCTAGATAAGTTTTGAATAAATCGTAATATTTTGAAAAAAATTTATACAAATCATTTGGATTTATTGTTAAAATATTTCTACCAAATTTGGATAACATATGACGTCAAATAAAAAAGATATGAGAGTTGTCCACGAACTTTTTGAACAACCCAGAACTCACATGCGCAAAAAAGATTTGATTTAAAAGCATGAAAAGTTTACAGACGGACGGCTTTGTGAGGAAGGTCTTAGGTCTCTTTTGGTCTTCCTCTCTTTCTTTTTCCGGTTGGTGTCCATCTTAATGCAACCCCTGAGACGGAGGTTGGGTGCATTCTACATATATGCGGCATTCTTTTCTTTATAATTTGGGATATTTATAGAGGAGTGGGGTTAATTCTTTTGTACAGCTCTTCATTTGAGATAGTATTAGGTCAGAAGATGCGTTATTTATTCTGCGAAAACAACGTGTCTGCAGTGGCGGATCCAAAGTGGGGGGGGGGGGGGTTACAGGGGTTGCAACAACCCCCCCCCCCTTTGGATTTGCAAAAAAGAAAGAGAAAGAAGAAAGTTCCAATTTTTTGTTGTGTTTTTACCATAGAAAATGTTTAGTGAAAGGCTAATGTTGTAATATATAAAGATATTCGGTTGTGAAAACAAAATGAAACCCCACCCCCTTTACAAAGTAGGATTTTCAGGTTCGGAGATTTATCTTCCTTTCCTTTTCAAAAACTTTCAGGTAATCCATACAAGCACTTTTTCTCAGGTTGATCAACCTACCACTTTTAAAAACCATTCTCCACCCTGTATCCTATTGATTTATTATACCCCCGCTTGAAAAGTGGGAGGGTATACTGTAATCGGTATGTCCGTCCGTCCGTCCGTCTGTCTGTTACGCTTTGTGGTACCCATCTCTTATCCGCAACTCCTCTTATACCACTGAGTGAAATTTAATGAAACTTTCAGAGAATCTTTATTACATATTGCCATTGTGCACCTCCTATTTTACTTTTTGATCCGACACATATTTTGGCTCTTTCCCCTTCAACCCCCTTTTGAAAAATCCTTCACCCCCCCCCCCTTTGAAAAATATCTAGATCCACGCCTGGTCTGGAAGGCATCTACTGTGGCTTGTTATACCCCCCGGGGAGGGTATATATTTCGTGATTTCCGTCCGTCTGTCCGTCCGTCTGTTACGCTTTGGGGTACCCATCTCTTATCCGCAACTCCTCTCACACCATTGAAGGAAATTTAACGAAACTTTCACAGATTCTTAATTACATATTGCCATTGTGCACCTCCTATTTTACTTTTTGATCTGACATATATTTTTGATTTTCCAGAGCAAAACATGTTCACTGCCATTATATTCATATGGGAGGCGGGGGGTATCATTTAGTGAGCTCATTGCTTCACAGTACCTGTAGTTTGAAATGGCTTTTGTTACTTTCCATGATGCAGCACCATACAGGAGATCGAAACCCAAACACATTACTCTTGAAAATCTTAATTTTGATATGTATATGCTGATCTTGATGTTTCGCATGCAGTGCAACAAACATTTCTATGACTTTAGAAATCTAGCTACCTCAGAATTCCATCTATGGTGGTCTTGCGTCTTAGAAAAACAAAGTCTGTGACCTCAAATTCGGGGGGGAGATAATTTAGGGTGATGGGTACGTCAGATTTAGTGTTGACCTTTATGATGCTAGTCTTGGTGTTGTAACTTGTAATTCCCAGACAAAACTTTCCTGCTTTTTTCGCTAGCTGGCTCATGGTTGTTTTTTTTTATATTCCAATGTCGATGAGTGCTATATCATCAGCAAAATCTAGTTCTTCAGGCATTCCTGACATATCCGAAGTGATTCCCGTCCGCTTAATTATTCTTGGTGGTTTCTCGCATGATCTAGTCTATGCAAAATGTAAAGAGAAGAGGGGAGAGTATACATCTCTGTTTTACTCCAGTCTTCAATTCAATTAATTCCTTTGATAGGTTTGATCCACAGATAACTCTGGTATTTATATCTGTGTACAGCATCTTAATGATGGAGATGATTTTATCTTTACGACCACTACTCCACTTTTCACTATCTTAGCTAGTAAACAGAGTGATTACTAATCATGAAGAATGTTTTACTATCCAACTAGTTATATCAACTAGTATAATGACTGAGATTTTTTTCCAAGTCTAGGCCATCAAAAATGTCAAGAGCTATTGTGAAGTCGATAAAGTTGATGTAAAGTGAAGAGTTCCATTCATTGCTCTGCTCTAATATTTGTCTGAGAGTGAATATCTGCTCGGCAATGACCTTTCCTTTCTAAAACCTGCTTGCTCTTTGATCTGCTTAGTCTGTGATTAAGTATGACTTTGCTTAATACTGTCATGATTACCGGGAGTAACATTATTCCTCCAGTTGTTGCAGTTTGAAAGTCTCCTTTTTTGGTACTTTTACTATAATTATACTACCTGTATTCTACCTATATTCCTATGTTAAACTTTGATCGTCCGCTATGGCCACACCCTACCCTCAGGGATCGTGATTTGTATGAATTTGAATCTACACCACCTGAGGATGCTTTCATATAAATATGACCAATCATGGCTTTGTTGTTCATGAGAAGAAAATTTTTAAAGATTTTTCCTATATATTCCTATGTTAAAATTTGATCGTCCAATGTGGCCCCACTCTTCCCTCGGGGGTCATGACTTGAACAAATTTAAATCTACACTACCTGAGGATGCTTCCACATTAGTTTCATCTTTCCTTGCCCAGTGGTTCTTGGGAAGAAGATTTTTGAAAGATGCCATTAATTTTTCAGTAAATTTTAATTATCTCCCCTTGGAATGGGGCATGACCCTTCATTTGAACAAACATGAATTCCCTTCACCCAAGGATACTTTATGGCAAGTTTGATTGAAATTGGTCCAGTGGTTCTTGAGAAGAAGTCGAAAATGTGAAAAGTTTACAGACGGACAGACACCTAGACGGACGGACTTACGACGGACAAAATGTGATCAGAAAAGCTCACTTGAGCCTTCGGCTCAGGTGAGCTAAAAGCCATTTGAATGGAGCTCGCGGAGTCAGCCGAGGATTACCGATTGACTGATTTCGGTAAAATATAATTTCAAATTATTTCCAACAATTCTGGGAGTTTTTTGATAAAAGAATCGCTCAGAAACGGAAGTGTTACAAACAGACAAACGTTAGTACCTCCGATTACAGTGAAAACGGGTGACAAAAATTGGAAAAAGATGATAAATTTTCAGCAAATGTTGTATTAGTGAGTTCAAGGTCACAGGAAATCTCA